TCAAGGGACAACACATGCTGGAGAGGTTGTGGAGAAAGGGGAACCCTCCTCTACTGCTGGTGGGAATGTAAACTGGTACAACCATTCTGGAAAGCAATCTGGCGCTTTCTCAGACAACTAGGAATAGCGCTTCCTCAAGATCCAGCCATACCACTCCTAGGCATATACCCAAAAGAGGCTCAAGTACACAAAAAGGACATTTGCTCAACCATGTTTGTAGCAGCTTTATTTGTAATAGCCAGAAGCTGGAAACAGCCCAGATGCCCCTCAACTGAAGAATGGATGCAGAAACTGTGGTACATCTATACAATGGAGTATTACTCAGCAATGAAAAACAAAGAAATCATGAAATTTGCAGGTAAATGGTGGGACCTGGAAAGGATCATCCTGAGTGAGTTGTCCCAGAAGCAAAAAGACACACATGGTATATACTCACTCTTATCAACATACAACATAGAATAAACCCACTAAAATCTGTACATCTAAACAAACTAAGCAAAAGAGAGGACCCTAACTAAAATGTTCAATCCTCATCCTGAAAGGCAAAGAGGATGGACATCAGAAGAAAAAGAAAATAGGAAACAACCTCGGAACCTGCTACAGTGGGCCTCTGAAAGCCAGAAGAAAACAGGAAATAACCTTGGAACCTGCCACAAAGGGCTTCTGAAAGCCTCTGCAGTATAGACTGTCAAAGCAGATGCTGAGCCTGATGGCCAACTGATGGGCAGAGTGAATGGAATTTTATGTAAGAAGTGGGAAATAGTAAGAGCTGGAGGGGACGGGAACTCCACAAGGAGAGCAACAGAACAAGATAATTTGAACACAGGGAACTTCCCAGAGACTCATACTCCAACCAAGGACTATTTGTGGAGATGACCTGGAACCCCTGCACAGATGTAGCCCATGGCAGTTCAGTGTCCAAGTGGGTTACATAGTAATGGGAAGAGGGACTGCCTCTGACATAATCTGATTGGCCTGCTCTTTGATCACCTCCCCCTGAGGGGGGAGCAGCCTTACCAGGCCACAGTAGAGGACAATGCAGCCACTTTTGATGAGAACTGATAGACTAAGATCAGAAAGAAGGAGAGGAGGACCTCCACTATCAGTGGACTTGGGGAGTGGCATGCATGCAGAAAGGGGAGGGAGGGTGGGATGGGGAGGGGAGGAGGGAGGGGCTTATGGGGGGATACAAAATGAATAAAGTGTAATTAATAAAAAATTTTAAAAAAAGCAACAAGTCAAGTAATCCAATTAAAAAATGGGGTACAGAGCTAAACAGAGAATCCTTTGTAGAGGAATAGAGAATGGCAGAGAAACACTTAAAGAGATGCTCAACTACCTTAGCCATCAAGGAGATGCAAGTCAACAATCCTGAGATTTCACCTTACACCCATCAGAATGGCTAAGATCAAAAACTCAAGTGTCAGTACATGCTGGAGAGGTTGTGGAGAAAAGGGAACCCTCCTCCACTGGTGATGGGAATGTAAACTTGTACAACCACTTTGGATATCAATCTGGTGCTTTCTCAGACAATTAGTAATAGTGCTTCCTCCAGATCCAGCCATACCACTCTTAGGCATATATCCTAAATATACTCAAGTACACAACAAGGACATTTGTTCAAATTCATCTTTTCTATCTTCCTACCATGTAGAAACTTAGTGTCAGGATGGTTGCTAGAGCAACATTACCCTTCACGCCCGGACAATGTAGCCTTTGGTGTTTACTTGTTGCTTTATGCTTCCATATGTGAATCAAATCATCTTTTTGTTATAATTATTTTTTTTTCGTTTTTGTTTTTTAAGACAAGGCCTCTCTATACTGTAGCCCAAGCTGACCTCATACTCATAGCTCCCCTGCTTTCCACAGGAATTATAGGCATGTGTTACTATGCTAGGCTCAAATAATCTTTGAAAACAAAGGCAGTCATGTGACTAAGATACCATGAAACTCACAAGTGCATTACAATTCTGCATCTTCCAGAATCTGTTTCTACACAGGCGACCAGAATAGAAGTCTAATTCAGGGTTGTTAGTTTCTTGAATTCAAAGAAGCTTATTGAAAAGGAAATGCATTCTGCTTTTTTTTTTTTTTTCAAATAATAGGTTTTTAAATTTTTACTTTCCTTTCTAGCAAGTAAGAATAACTAAAATTCCATTGAAGGTAACTTACTCTGAATATAAGCCAGATATGTTAAGATAAATGGTAAATAATTTATTACCTGATCTACTGTGGTCACGGAGTTGGAAGGCATTTATGAGATCAGTTTTTCTTGAAATCATTCTTTCTTTCAGTGTCTTGAAGGCACTGAATTCCATAGCGCTCACCCTGTATTAAGAAAACAGCATTTCAGTGAAACTTACAAAATGATTCTGTTCACTTCATTTTAATGTGTTATGTCACAACATATTAGTTTCCACTTTAAATAAATTGTCTATGTGTATATATATTGTGTTGCTAGATAGTAAACATATGCCCATTTCTGCATGCATTTTGCAGACTTATTAGATATTTAACAAATCATTTTAATGTTTTGTTTGTTTATTGTTCCTTTTCAAGACATTTTATACTTTGTAGTTGGCGATTTGATGTAGTGAGGGTAGTATATGTATATCACAGCACATGTGTGCAGAACAGGGGATAACTTTGTAGAGTTGGTTCTCCCTTGCACATTTAGACATGTTCTAAATAGAGTTTCCTTTGGACTTGAAGGATTGATATGAATAATTATTTGAAAAAAGGAACTTGTTACTGAGATATTGAGATTTACCATTACATTACTGAAACAAAATAGGCACTGACTGTGATTTTAAAAAATGCACATGAGTAGAACACAATAGGAACTTCGGAAAATAGATCCAACTATTATGAGAAGAACACCTAAGGAAACAGAGGTAGTATACTTCAGTAGAAAAGACAATCTTTCAGTTTATTCTAGGACACTTAGTTAACTACTTCAACATAAACTTCTACCTGAGATCATTTATAAAAATAAGTTTGAAGGATGAACAAGAATAGACAAGTTCTGAGATCTAGACATCCTTCAGTGTTTACGGGTGTATAGATTCTAGGATGCAAAATGAATTTTAAAAATTTAAGGATTCTCTATTTTCTTAAATAAATTGATAAAGTACTTGCAAATAATTGATATTCAACCTCATATATACTTTAATTTATAATTTATTTATAATATTTAATTTAATATAAATATAATAAATAATTGGAATAGTATATTATTTGAGGGATATAAGAAAAATGTCTGTACATTTTTAGAAAAGACTTATTTTTTTAATGTTTTCAGAATAGAACTCATAATACAAATATCATAGTTTGATACATAACTATGTATCAAACCCATAAAATGGCAGATACAAATCCAAGTATATGAATAATAACAGCACATTTAAGGAAATAAAATAATCAACTAAAAATACAGAAATTATGAAACTAGATAACTTCAAAATGAAGCAATATCACATTATATATGTTACCTCACAGGAGACATATTTCAGTTTCAAAAGTACCAAGAGTTTAAAACGAAAGGGACAAAAAATAAAAATACCAAGAAAACAGAAACCATGTAAGCTAGAGTATCATGCTAATAGGAGACAAAATAGACAGATGAAAACTGTAACTAAAGGGGGTAATTCATAATGATAGAAGATAAAACAACTATAAACATATGTGAACCTAACGACAGAACCTAAAATTACATGAGACACAAACTAAAAGAATGAAACTGACAATTCAATAATGATGACTAAAAACTTCACTGGCAGAGCTGTTCTTAGTCACTTGGGACTAGTTCTATTTGGTCACAAAAAGTCTGTAGTATTTTCAGAGCTATATACCTTTGGTTAAGAGGGCACAGGCATGATGTACTAGTTACTTGGTACTGGAAGAACTGTGGAGCTGTACCATAACTTAGTCTGATGTAGGCTCCTCGGTTGCTGCCTTCTTCATAATAATTAGAAGCAGAAAATACAGTAATGACCTGATTAAAGAAAAAGAGGATCAAGTTCATTAAGTTAGTTCTCAAAAGGTCATTCAGTAAAATTCAGAAAAAAGCTCATAATCTTTGTAAATTATCCAGATCTGATATGATTCCCTTGAAAGAAAATGAAAGTCTTTACTCAGTGTCTCCAGTATTAACTACTAGTACTGGATATCCCTAACATCCCCAGGCTATGGCCGCTAACTCCTACATACTATTTTAGTGCTGGACCTTAGAATTCTCTTTTATGTTTAGCTTGTAAATTCTAATTTTCCATGGGAATAAATCCCTTATTTTCCTACCTTGTGATGTCTGAGGGTTCAAAATAAAATTTGGTTAGAAGCTCATTGTTTTTCATTTTGTGCAAAGATGTGTGATTTTTGAAGGTTCTAAGCCACATAAAATGAATGTTTTAAGAGCAGAGACATAATGGGATGGGACTATGGCTACTATCTTAGGAAGAAATCAGCCTTGGAAGCATGGTAGGTAGAATATGGAAAGATAATACTTTCTGGTGACAGGAAAGCTGGCTTGAGTCCAGTTCTGGTGTAATAAGAATGCCACTTCAGATGAACCACTGCTATTTTCTAATTACAGATAGTTTCTAAACAGTACTTAACCTCATTCATCTTGTACTGTTACTATGAGCCAAAAGTGAATTAATAGAATTAAGAACATCAAAGTATCAGAATAGAAGGAAATGTTCATTTTTATTTATTTTTATTCATTATGAAGAAAAAAAAGAACCATCCTAAGGTAACTGAGGACGAGTACCAGTTTCTTAGTCCTCACCTCCTCTAGCCTTATTGACATAACTAAAGGAGAACAAGATACTCCATTTTAATGGTGGTAGTTAAACTAACCACAGTAAGCAACTTGCTAGTGACCACCTCCCTACTGAGTTGAGAGGAAGCATGCTGTATGTATTCTGTCCTACGCAGGAAATTGCAAAAGAAGAAAGAGAGGAACTGTATTAGATAGTCATATGGCACAGGACAAGCATATTACAAGGCACAGACTCAAAGAAGATAAGTAACATAGAGGATCCAAGGGAAGATGCATAAATCTCACTGGGAAGGGGGGATAGAATAGACAGAGGCTGTGGCTGAATAGAGGAAATGAGGTAAGAGAGGGAGCACAGAGAGTTAAGAGGGTGAAATTCAGACCTGAAGAGAGCAAGGCTGAGAGGACAGAAGGCCTGTAAAGAAAAGAGAAACTGAGGGTGGGGACATCTCTGTGACAAGCTTAAGACCTAAGTAGGGTAGGCTCCTGGGAGGATATGAGGAGTCAAGCAAAGACTCCTAATAGCAGAGGCTATAGAGACTGAAGAGAGCACCCTCTAACCGACAAGTCTCCTAGTAGAGGGAGAGGAACATCAACCCACCCACAAACACTTCGACCCCAAATTTACCTTGCCTACAAGATGTGCAGGGATAAAGATAGAGCAGATAGAGCAGAGATTGAGGGAATCCCCAACCAATTCCTGGACCAGCCAAAGACCCGTCTTATCAGAGAGTACCAACCCCTGACACTATGAATGATGCTCTGCTGAACTTCCAGACAGGAGACTGACAGAGTTGTCTTCTGAGAGGTTCTACCCAGCAGCACCTCAAAACAGATGCTGAGACTTACAGCCAAACATTGGTCAATAAGGAGAGTCTTGGGGAACAGTGGGAGGAAAGAGAAAAGGACCCAGAAATAATAGGAGCTCCACAAGAAAAAACAACAAAGCCAACTAATCAGGGCCCAGAGGGGCTTGCTGAGACTGAAGCATCAACCAAGGACTATGCATGAACTGGACCTAGGCCCCCTACAAAGATATAGCAGATGGGCAGCTTAGGCCTCATGTGGGTACTCTAGTAAGGGAAGTGGGGACTGCATTGGACACTGACTCACTTGCCAGCTTTTTGATCACTTTCCCCTGGCAGGACTGTCTTGACAGGCCACAGAGGAAGAGGACATGCTCAGTCCTGATGCAACTTTATGAGCTGTGCAGGATGGGAAAGGTTGCTCAGGAAAAGAGGAGGTGAGGGAAAAAAGGGAGGGTGGAACTGGGAGAGGAGAAGGGATTTGGCTACAGCAAGGATGTAAAGTGAATAAAAAAATTTAAAAATAAAAAAAGAAACAATTTAACAAAATGAAAAAAAGTTCAGTCTGTACTTTTGTGGGACTATGTACTGCAGGTATTGGCTTATAATTTGTAAAAAGCAAAATGTGCATGCATGCATATATGTATATGTGTGTGTGTGTGTGTGTGTGTGTGTGTGTGTGTGTGTGTACACTTAGTGTCACTGATATGGTTTAAAGTAATGCATTTGGGTATTGAGTTAGGAAGAGGTACACTTGTGATAGTTAATTTTAATTATCAACTTAATAGGATTAGTGAACAGAGCATAATTCTGGGTATGTCTGTGAGGACATTTCCAGAGAGGATTAGTTGAGGTTGGGAAGACCTTCCAAGCATGCAAATGGCACCATCACTTAGGATGGGGTCCTAGACAGATTTACAAGAGAAAAAGGAGACTATCTTGTCCCTTGGTTATAGCAATGAGAAGAGTAATTAATGCAGCATATCAGAATGTCTTTTTCTGGGAGTAGTGAAAATTAAGAAATAAGCCAAATATCTCAAAGGATAAGGGGCAGCACCTTTAGTCTCTGTTTTTTGTTTGATACTAAGGGAGACATCTCATGGGCTTTTAGGAAGGACAACATTGTGCAGAGAAGACCAGGCTTGTGGCAAGGATGTCTGCCAGAATTTCATCCATATTAGCTTACCTTTCCATCATGACAGATTTCATACCCATCGGGTTTGCACTCATGAGATCTAATGAGCATCTTCAAGTGGTTTTTACCAAGAATCTTATTGGTAACATCTGGTCCAAAATAGCAGCCCCCTCCTCGGCTTGTGTTCGGATAACAGCCTTTTTTGCCTCTGGGGTCACTCCACAGAAGCTCAACAATCTTGGAACAATAAAAATAAATTAGGCTTCTACTTATAGGCAACAGCCTATCATTTTTACATTCCAACCTTTTTAAACAATTTATTTGTTTGTATTTTATGTACACTGGTGATTTGTCTGCATGTGTATCAGTGGTAAGTGGTATTGGATCCCCTGCAACAGGAATTTCAAACAGTTATGAGCAGCCATGTGGGTGCTGGGAATTGAACCTGGGCCCTCTGGAAGAGAAGCCATCTCTCCAGCCCTTATATTCCAGTTTAATTGACATAAATATTAAAGGTGTCTAGAGTTACAGACATAAACCATCATGCCCAGCTAAATTTAGAAGAGAACATAGTTCCTTCCAATGAACACAAATAAGGTGCTCTTAATATACTGAAGATTAGATAGATCTCCCAGCCACTGGCTCAGATTTTTGTTCTGTTTAACATATTAAGAACATCTAATGTCTGTTCATTGGAAGGAACTACTTTCTCTTCTGAACTTATCTGGGCATGGTGGTTCATGATTTTCAAAGAACATCTCTGAAAACTTTTATCTTTTGCTGCCATAAGGATGTTCTCCAATTCAGCTGCACATTTACTCAATAACTGGATTCCACAAGGTATTCTAAACCCACCATGATCTTTCTCAGCTTAATATTTCTGTTTATGACTAGAAGAATCAAATTCAGGTCATACAATACCCAGGACTGAAGACCCAAACTTCTACTATCTGAGAATATTTTCTCAGAAAATCAGTGGGTGCAGTCAGTAATCTACATTTGAATGTTCAGCTCATTTTTTAAAAACTATGAGAGCTTACAAAAAAGTGAAAAAAAAAAACACTCTTTATCACTAAAGACAGTGACAACCTTGAGAAAACTAAGTCTCACTTTGAAAATCACTCAGTCAAGTATTTTGGTCAGTTGACCTGCAAAGTACTCAAGGGTCTAATAGGCAATGGTTCTAAACATCTACTATTTTCCATAGTTTTCTCTGTTGTTATATGTACAGAGAATTGAATCAGGGCCTTAGATAGGCTAGGCAAATGTACTACTTCTAAGCTATATCTCCTGCCCCTCCACATCTACATGTTTCTTTGGAGAAAAAAAAGCATGTAATTCAAATTTTGTATGTGTGTAGAAGCCAGCCGTCTACATTGGTTATCTTTCTCAACTATTCTCCTCTCTCACTGAACCCATAGCTGAACAATTTAGTTAGAATGACTAGCCAACAAGCCCCACAGATTCACCTGTCTATGCCTCCCCAGTGCTAGGATTACAACTGTGAGCTTCCATACCCATCTTTTATGTCAGTGCTGGGGATCTGAACTCAGGATCTCACGGTTGAACACCAAGCACTTTACTGACTGAGCCATCTCATCAGCACCTGGTCAGCACTAGAGACACTCTGTACAGCAGGCTCAGAGCAGAGTTTTTGATGACTAGTAGAGATAAGAATTAAAATCTCCCAAAGAAGAATCACCCCAGAGCTTCCTTCCTTCTCACTGAATTCCAATATTGATACAATTGTACCCTACACATAAATGTAATGTAACATCTTTAAGTTCTGGTGTTTTAATGCAAAATGACACTTGCATTTCAAACTGAGTCATATCTGGCTCCTATACAATTTCACATTTTGGGTGTATGACTCAACTTGTAGTATAATAAAAGAGAAAACATAGAACACACGGAGTTATATTTTATCAGGAAAGAATTAGGTTTTCAAGTCCTACATGGATCACAGTAACTTATAGGCAAAATTTCCTCTTGAAAGTATCTTAATTTACCTTTGGACTACACATACATTATTTTACATATGTAACCCTATATAGTAGTATATATAAGAAAATATTATATATATGATAATGGATGGACATTCCATGATAAAGTATATGAAAATAAACTCTCATAACATATTTTCTTCCTTTTTAATACATGATAGTCAAATTTTACATAAATATCCATATGAAGTGAGCATAGAGGCATATGTTATAGGGAAGCAGAGGCAGAAAGATCACAATTCCAGGCCAACTTGCTATGTAGCAAGTCTGTCTCACAAAACTAAAGCCTAACATGTTTAGTGTAATATTAGAGTTCTTGCGTAGCCTACACAAAGCTTGTGTTCAATCTCTAGCACTATAAAAAATATAAGTAACATTATATGGACTGAGCAGGATGTATACAATATTAATGTTAGAGATACAGAGAGATAGAGAGATAGCTAGATAATGTAAAAACAATTAAAGCGGTAGTTCTCAACCTGTGAGTCACAACCTCTTTGTGGCGGTCAACAGGGGTCACCTAAGACCATAGGAAAACACAGATATTTATATTATTCATAGCAGTAGTAAATTTACAGTTATGAAGTAGCAATGAAAATAATCTTATGGTTGGAAGTTGCTATAACATGAGGAACTGTACTAACGGGTTATAGCATTAGGAAGGTTGGGAACCACTGAATTAAGGAAAAGCAGCGCGGATTTAAATGAGAGTAAAGGGTCCATGGGAGGAGTTTAAGGGAGGAAAAGGAAGGGGAAACTGATGTTATAATATTTTAAAAATCAAAAATCACTTAAAGATTCATATTTCTGGAAGCCCATTGAAGCAGAATAAGTACCAGCTAAACTACCTTTTGAGTAGCTATCTATGTATCCTTGAGTAAATCACCTTACTTATTTGAGTCTTAGTCATTATCAATAAAACAAAGAGGAAGTATCTATTATTCATCTTTCATTGACTTAAAATCACAAGAGCTAACAGCTTTAAGAAATGAAGAAACAAGAAAAAAAAGCTTTAAGAAATAAGAAATTTCTTTTTTAGAATCCATTCCTTGAGTTCTAGATTTCTTTTTTTAGTCTAGAAATCACATGGTTGATTATATGCAAAATAAAGAGATGGATTTAGAGAAGATGATATATTCTGCTTACAATGCTGATGTAATTTTAACTTGTATTTTGTAATGGACAACATCATCACTGTTGATGAGCTGATGTTAGCACTCTGGCAAATGTTTTGATTACCTACCTGTTCCCATTCATGCTTTGTTAACGGTTCAGAAGTGGACCTGTCTGATTCGGCCTTCCCTGCTCCCATACTGCTTGAACCTGGTTTATTTTTCTTAAAGTCAAGGGCATGACTTACTGCCACTGGTGGCATCAACACAGACCTCATCTGTAAGAAAACAAAATGCTTTAGTTAAATACTGGACGTAGATACTTCAGTTCCAGTTGGTAATCTGTCTAGGCTGTGCCTCAACCCTGAAGAAACACATAGCCCCTCTTTTCATCTCACCTGCCTCACATGCATTGCTAATTTACTAATGTCTATAAGGTAGGTCTAGTAAAATATTTTGTGCAGTTTGCAATTAAAAATGCAGCAAGAAGCTTCACATCAGAAATTCTAAGGGAATCCAGAGGCACATGTGTGTATGCTAGACTTGTAAGGCATTGTCGAAGGAACTAGAAAATGCCTTTCTCTATACCTGAGGCTCTGAGGAGTTAAGAAACATCTTTTCAAAGGGGTTATGCATTTGATTTTGTTGTAATTTCCAAGAAAAGAAACCACATCCATATCTATGAGCATTCTCACAGCGGACACAGGTTAAAAAGCTTAGCAGCCCTTCAAACTAAATTCAGCAGAGTCCTTAGCTAGACCTGTCAGCAACTGATCATTTTGCCTAATCAGAGTGGCAAACCTGTTTCTTTGAAAAAGAAAATGTTTCCAGAAATATAACGATAAACTCACTGGATTACTTATATAACCTGAGATTTGGATCTTGTCTCTTATAAGCATTATATATTCACACAAAGCAATTAAAACATTTTTACATTTATTTATTTATTTAGTGTGTATGTGCACACCACCCTCCACAGCATGTATGTGGAGGTCAGAGACAACTTGTAGGAGTTAGTTCTCTCCTTCCACCATGTCAGTTCCAAGGATTGAGTTCAGTTTGCTAGGCTTGGGAACAAGAATCCTTACTCAAAAAGCCATTTCACTGGTCCACAAAAAGCAACATAAAAATAATTCTTTTGATACACTGGTGGTCATAGTTCAGTGATGGGCAGCTTTCTATAACAGATACTTAATTTCTCCAATAATCTATGGTATAAAATTGTTCTATTTTTATTTTTAAAAACTAAAACCCAGTCTTATTCTATAGAGTCCTCATAAAGTGGATTAGAAACTAAATCTCAGCTATTAATCACTAGTTCATAGCCTACCTTAGTCTTCTCCAAGCAAATGACCTTAGTTTGGTAGAAGCCTGTAGGTTTATGCCCACATAATTCATTTCTGATTAGCTTATTAGGCAAGGCCTCCTGGTCCCTTAAGAACATGTAGATCTGCAGTTTCCAAAGCTATTTAGGATTGGGATACTTTCCCTATAGATCGCCAGAAGGTACCACACAGCCAATTTTTCTTGGGAGTCCTACTAACCATCCTTTTCTATACTCCTGACTGGGAATTTGAAGACTACCAAACCAGAGCCTCTGTCTTACAGAATCTTATTTCTCAGTGTTGACCTCTATTCTGCTTACTATACAAAATGTTTTTAATGAATCTAGAATGGAGATTGTCATCAGGTTAGTTTCACGGAGAGCTTTTTATCTGTATTTTTGATACTTTGACATCTTGGGATCTTGATCATAGTAGATACTGCTCCTCTCAGGGTATCTCCATATACTAGGAAAAGGGATTCTAAGAAAGTTCCTATCTACTTTTATTTTTCCCTGCTTTGGTCTTAAATTTCTAAAGAAGCATTCAACGAGTAAAAAATACTTATTACATCCCAAGTACTGGGGTTCTGACAGGGATTGGAAAAGCACAAGAATTTAGTAAGAAAACAATATCACTGTTCCTTACTTAAATTTGGTAACTTATGAAAGATATGTATAAAGGGCTGGAGAGTGTATAAAGGAGACATGATCTAGTGATGACGTTGTAGTAAGGTGAAAAGTGAAAGATTAGTGATATCATTCACATGTGTATAAAAGTATGGACATTCCCAAACCTCAATGTGCAACCGAGATCACATTTCTGTCTCTATCAGATCAACTACAAGTTTCAGACCCCATCTTCCCAGACTGATTAGATATTGATTATTGGCCTTTAGAGTCAGTAGTTCACGTTTCCCACTTAGGCCATACACTAGCATCTGTTCTACAACTGCTACCCGTCCTCATGCCCAAATTCTAGTCTTGGGGTTCTGGTAAAGGAAGAAGATGGCTCTAGTTGTGTATAAGGTTCATTGCAGGAACTAAACATAGGTGTGGAATCTTTACAGGCCCCATAGAGCTAGTTCTCTGAGAGAGTCTATACAGGTCCTTGTCCTGGCTGGGTTGAATTTAATATGGTTGCTTAGAGTTAAAAATAATCTGAAGATAGTTACTTTGCTCACTTGAAATAAAGGAACATGATAACAATTTAGAAATAAATTTCTATATGGTTCTACTTATATGAGTTACCTAGAGCTCCTACACAAAATGTTGGTCATCAGAACTAGGAGAGGGAAGGAGGAGTTCCTGTTTAATGGGCATGGTTTCACTCAAGGAAGTTCTGTGAATGGCTGATGATCACAGCAGTAACAGTAGCTCAATGGGAATGCACTCAGTGCCAAGGAGCTAAATTTACATTTTTACAAAAGACTACAGTGTTAAATTGTGTTTCTTTTGCCACAAGGTAAGTGAATACATTTAAACTTTACTTCTAAAAAACTCACTTTTAGAAAGTATCTCATGTGCTAATGTATCCCCATTTTTCCATTTTCAACATGACTTCTATTTTTTTAAAAAAAATGTACTATATATAGAAGAACCACCTAGTTGTCATACAATCAATCATAGCTTAAGACTTTTACTAATTTTCTCAGTTACAAGTACATATCTATTTAAAATGACAAATTAAAAGCAGCATATTCCATTATAAACCTCATGCACATATTACTTCTTACTTTATTTCTTTGTATTTGGTGGAGTACACTCAAGTCTGTGGATTCTGATATCCCACCATGGATAACCAGGATTTCATTGTCAATAATTGTACCAATTGGGAGCCATGTGTAGACTTCTTCTAGGATTTGCAAGATTTTTCTTCCATGTATCTGTAAGTAAGAGCTTTATTATGTTTTATTTTCCTGATATGTGCAGTTAAGTGAATAGTCTCAATATATATATTAAAAACAAGTTTTTATGCCAACCAAAGAAAGCCAGCAGGGAGCCATCAACCATGGGTATTTAGCATGGAATTTTTTTTTTCATTTTATATTTTTGATACTTTGACATCTTGGGGCCTTGCTCATAGAGGAGACTGCCCCCCTAAGGGTTAATTTCTGGAGATCTTAAATGACTATTTTCACGTACAAACCCACCATTTCAAATTCCACAGTTTGAAGAATTCTTTTCCTGGGTTCTAACTCAGACCCACTCTGATGTGCTAATCAACACAGATCAAACCAGTAGACAAATAGTGACAAATAGTGATAACCCTTATGCTCCACAGCTGGATGCCATTGTGCTAACTACTCAACTTGCAACTCAAATTCATCGAGGGGCTTTGTTCTTTGTCTCCCTAGAGAGGGTCCTTGTTTGTATTTTGCTTCTGGCTCCATCTATCTCTGTCCAACTCTGGTAATTCCCTCTGTGGTATCCTTAGTGTGGCATACCATGCCTCCTGCAGTTAGGTAGCTGAAGAAAATCCCTTCCTTCATATTGGTCATTTCTCTGTCTCCCTGTTGTTCTACACCTGAGTGAAAATGTCTGGATAGGTACCTCTAAAGCAACATAATATGATCATATCTATGCTGAAATTGATCCAAGTCACAATGAAAAGAAAAATCTAAGATTCTATCATGGTGAGGGTTCCCTGCTGTGCTTATTATTTTATTGGCACATATTTTTTCCCAGTGTGATAGATCCAGTACTTTAATAATGCAACATGAGCATTAAAATACTAGATCAACTGCAACTTGACCTGTTACAACAATAATATTGAAATCCAATACATTTTATAGATTTCTAATAACTACCTCTAGTTCTGTGCTATAGAACTCCCCATGCCCCTCTTATTTTGGTTGCCTCTTATTTTCTTTTCTTCACAATTTAGTCATTATATATCCCAATTAAAGTTCCCTCCCTCAACTTCCTCAGTCCCACCTTCCCTCCCCTTTCCCCCATCCCCTTCATTAGCCCCCTCACCTTTCCTAAAGCAACAATCTGGTCTTTGCTTGGCTTTCTTTCCCCCACAGCAAAACAAGTACAAGTCTTACCTTGTATTTATGCAGAATTTCTTTTGTAAAACCGTATCTGAAAAACAGATCTTAAACTATTAATTATTGCAAGGAGAGCCACTTGTGTCTCATTATTATCAAATAGTCGAAACTCAAGAGACTGTAGACTTCAGTTGAAATACTTATCACAGTCTTTCTGGAGCATTTTGAGAAAGAATAAAAGCAACCAATGACACTACCTCTCCTCTCAAGAAGCCTAGAATGTATCTGGGTAAAAAAACAAAAAAACAAAAACCAGATACTTGTAGAGCTGTAAGACAACAAATGTATACCAGGGGCTATGTAAAGGCTACAAGTATTTTGAGAGGTGTGCTATGATGGAGGAAGAAGTATGGAGAAGACTTCATCTAGATGGCATTGCTCAGACATCTGATCACTCAAAATGAATGACTAGAAAAAAGGAAAAGAGTAAGAAAGACACACAAAAAAAGCATTTAAGATGAGTTGGTTCTCCATTCATTTTCTGACATGGATCATGTGATTAAATGAATGGCACTAAAGGTTTTAACAGAAAGTATTGAGAATTTTAATGTCTGGATAACAAAAGCTAACAGATATTTTCAATTATATTTTCTTGCTTTAGGAGAATATTCTATATTCTTTTCATGTAGACTGGACTAGAATTTGCTATGTCAACTAGGAGCTCCTTGAATCCACCTCCACCTCCTGGGTGCTTGGATTAAATGTATATAACACCACACCTAGATAAGAATGTGTACTATTAATCCCCAATAGATAAAGTAGGAACAAAGCACACTTACCACTTTTTTCCATACAGACCACATGATGTCAGGTTTCTCCAGTATAAAACTATATTTTTCAAGATGAATTCCCTCCCTGTACTCACCAAAGGTGTCACATTGTTGGACCAATATACATCTTGCTATCTGTGGTGGTCTGAATGAGAATGAGCCCCATAGGGTCATATATTTGAATGTTTGGTTCCTAGTTGATATATTGTTTAGGAAGTATTAGAAAGTATAGCCTTGCTGGAGAAGGTGTTATCATTGGGGGTTGGCTTTGAGGTTCAAAAGCCCAATCTAGGCCCATTCTCTCTCTCTCTCTCTCTCTCTCTCTCTGTGTGTGTGTGCATGTGTGTTTGTGTGTGTGTCTGTTTCTCTCTGTGTCTCTGTCTCTTCCTCTGTGTGTGTCTGTCAGTCTGTCTCTATTTCTGTCTCTCTTTATCTTTCTGTCTGTGTGTCTGTCTGTATCCTTTTTCTTTGTCTCTCCCTCTATGTGTGTCTCCCTCTGTTCCTGTCTCTCTGTTTCTGTGTCTGCCTCTGTCTCTGTTTCTCTCTCATACTTGCTCTTTCTCTCTTTCTCCTCTTTGTCTGTTGCTTGTGGATAATATAAGCTCTCAGCTACTTCTCAAGTACCATGCCTGCATGCTTACCTCCATGCTTCCCAACATGATGGTCATAGACTCACCCTCAGAAACTGTAAGCAAGTTCCTAATTAAACACCTTCCTTTATAAATTGCCTTGGTCATGGTATCTTTCACAGCAACAGAAAAAGTAAGACAGCATCCTTACCTTTCTGAACTTGTAGGAAACACTAATTATAATTAGCTGTACCATCCTTCTAGAGAAATTCCTCCCTTCCATTTTGTGAAAGTAAACTTCCAGAGTATTCTAAAACTACCTCACAAGTTTTCGTTCACATAACCTTCATTATTAGAATTATTTTTTCAGATTCGTTCCTAGGCCATCCATTGCCTTCACTTTCTTCTTTAGTACTCTTACCCCTGGCAAGCCAGAGTTTCAATTACTATCTAATGTCAATACTATAGGGTAACACTCCAGGTTACACTTCATATCTGTCTCATACATCAAATAAACCTATCTCAGACTGAATTTATTCCCTTTCAGAATGATACTGTTATGCCTTTAAACCAAGCCTGCTCATCCTTGATTAATTCCTCTTGATATCAGATTATTAAGCCATAAACTGTTTTTGACCAAAGTCTTGTTAAATCTATTTTTTTCCTCTCCATTGCCATCATACTAGTCTAAATAGGAAGCTACAATTTCTTCAACTACTTCCTAATTGACATCACTGTATCCATTCTTGCCCCTCTTCCAAATGACTCTTCTTTTTAAAAATAGGCATAATATTCTTCAGTGGTACTCTTTTATCTTTAGATACATGCTCATAGTCCTTCACAACACTCAACCATCTTTTACATCTCCATCCCTACCAAACACTGTCTTAATTGGGTCTCTATTGTTGTGATAAAACATTATGACCAAAGACAACTTGGAGAAGAAAGGGTTTATTTCAGCATACATATCCCAATCACAGTCCATCATGAAGGGAACTCAGAGCAGAAACCTGAATACAGGATATGGAAGATCATTGCTTACTGGCTTGCTCCCTATAGTTTGTTCAGCTTTCCTTCCTATAGCACTAAGATAAGTTTCTGATAATACTCTAGATTCTTGTTCTTTATAGTTCTTTGCATTTGCTTTTACACCTCAAGAATTAGGACTAAAACTCTATACTTGAGTCAGCTGTTGAGACTGCCCAAAAGACAAAAGTGATCTTTGAGCTTTGATCACAGCACCTGAAAGCCTAGTTCCCAAAGCATGGTACATTCTATAACCTCTATTTTCTAGAACAAATTGATTTCTATTTTTCCATAAAAAGAAAAGAAAAAGAAAGAAGGGAACATTTATTACCTACTGTGCCTTTCAGACAGAATTCTTACACAGTTTAAGAAGTCTTTATCCCTCAACTCTCCAGTGAGTCACATAGTACAAATACTATGTTACAGGTACTCTAAAAAATGTTTATGAACAACTATGCCAGAAGCAATTACCAGGACACACACACAAAAAAATACACACATCCTCTCCAGCTCTTGCTAGCTGGAGAGGACAGGAACTCCACAAGGAGAGCAACAGAACAAGAAAATTTGAACACAGGCAACTTCCCAGAGACTCATACTCCAACCAAGGACTATTTGTGGAGATGACCTGGAACCCCTGCACAGATGTAGCCCATGGCAGTTCAGTGTCCAAGTGGGTTACATAGTAATGAAAAGAGGGACTGCCTCTGACATAATCTGATTGGCCTGCTCTTTGATCACCTCCCCCTGAGGGGGGAGCAGCCTTACCAGGCCACAGAAGATGACAATGCAGCCACTTCTGATGAGAACTGATAGACTAAGATCAGAAAGAAGGAGAGGAGGACCTCCCTTATCAGTGGACTTGGAGAGGGGCATGCATGCAGAAAGGGGAGGGAGGGTGGGATGGGGAGGGGAGGAGGGAGGGGCTTATGGGGGATACAAAATTAATAAAGTGTAATTAATAAAAGTTAAATAAAAAAATAAAGTAAAAAAAAGCTCTTGTGAAACAGTGGCATAGTATTTGCATATAGCCCCTGTGCATCCAAAAAAAAAAAAAATACACACATCAATGTAAAACACTGTGCTAGCTTCTGAGTCAGAATTTGAAGCAAGCTGAGAAAAACAACAGAAACTTCTGAGTTTACTTCGCACAACTTATCATACCTACAAACCTGACCTAACATGTCTACCCAGCATGTAATTTGGACTATGAAAAAAAAAAGCAAGAAATAAAAAAAAATAATAAAGAGGAATAGGAAATACAGGGCTGGAAGAAGAAGTAAGAGGAGGGCTTCAAAGTAGCTGACACTCAGCTCAAAGGCTGGGGTTGGTGAACAAGGTGGAGAACATGGAGATTGTCCTTGAGATTCATCTTCTCTTTCCTTCTATACAGCTTCACCTACACCTATCATCTGGGAACTAAACCCAGCGGCAATCCCAGAGGGGGATTAAAAGATGAAGTCTAAAATCAATGTTACCTCATATTCATCATAAAGTCTTCATGGTTCCCTCTATTCAAGAGTAGGTCAGCGGGGTAGACAAGAAAACTAACAAGCAGGATCATTAGAACCTCCATGGAATTGTTTCCTCGATCTACAAAATCACCATTGAAAACATACGGATTTCTTTCCGAAGGTAGGCCATTCTGTGGAAGGAGAGGGAAGAAAACAAGGAGTTAAAAGAATGCCTTTTTTTTTTTAACTTTGTTGTGATTTTCTTTCGTTTCTTTGTTAGATTCTTTTTTTTAATTCTTTATTAATTACACTTTATTCACTTTGTATCCCCCCTGTGGTTCCCTCCCTCCTCCCGTCCCTCCCTTCCTCCACCCTCTGCATGCATGCCCCTCCCAAAGTCCACTGATAGGGGAGGTCTTCTTTTCCTTCCTTCTGATCCTAATCAATTAGGTCTCATCAGGAGTGGCTGCAGTGTCTTCTTCTGTGGCCTGGTAATGCTGCCTCCCCTTCAGGGGGAGGTAATTAAAGAGCAGGCCAATCAGTTCATGTCAGAGACACTCCTTGTTCCTATTACAATGGAACCCACTTGGATACTGAACTGCCATGGTGCAGATGCTGAGACTTATGGGCAACCTTTGGGCAGAGTGCAGGGAATCTTATGAAAGAAGTGGGAATTAGTAAGATCTGGAGAGGACAGGAACTCCACAAGGAGAGCAACAGAACCAAAAAATCTGAGCACAGGGGTCTTTCCTGAGACTGATACTCCAACCAAGGACTATGCATGGAGATAACCTAAGAATGCCCTTTTTAAAATAAGGTTTATGTGTTTGTTCGTGCTGAAACAGAAAAGAGGCCAAGTATCCCCTCCCCCCCCCCAATTGGAATGAATCTGCTCACTGGCTTGAGCTTCCAAGGCACATAACTTGCAAGGGACCTAGAACCAAAGAATGAGACTGGGACAGAGAGATTTCAAGCAAGATAGAGATTGCTTATTCTGCTCATCACATACTATGAATTTTCTCTGAAAGGAACTAGGATTTGTCCTACCAAAGTAGATATCCTCTTGGGGGAGGGGAAACTGTGGTCAGAATATATTATAGGAAAAAAAATCCAATAAGAAAGAAAACACATCCTTTTCTAATCCACCATCTGCAGTGGAGCCTCTGCCAAGATGCAAAAACCCTTACAGGGAAGACCATCACACTGGAGTTTGAACCCTTGGATACTGAGAAAATGTAAAGGCCAAGATCCAGGATAAGGAAGGAATTCCTTCTAATCAGCAGAGGCTGATCTTTGCTGGTAAGCAGCTGGAAGATAGCTGTAATTTGACTACAACATTTAAAAGGAGCACACCCTTCATCTTGTGTTAAGACTTCATGGTGGTGCTAAGAAAAGGAAGAAGTCTTACACCGCTCCCAAGAAGAATAACCATAAGAGGAAGAAGGTAAAGTTGGCTGTGCTAAAATACTATAAGGGTGGATGAAAAATGTCAAAATTAGTCCATTTTGTTGAGACTGTCCTTCTGGTGAATGTGGTGCTGGGGTTTTCATAGCCAGCCACTTTGACAGACATTACTATGGCAAGTATTATCTGACTTACTGCTTCAACAAATCAGAAGACAAGTAGTTCAGTATGAGTTAATAAAAAGAAGTGACTGAAAAAATTTTAAAAAAAGAAACTGGAAAAAGAGGGACTGCCTCTGACATAATCTGATTGGCCTGCTCTTTGATCACCTCCCCCTGAGGGGGGAGCAGCCTTACCAGGCCACAGAAGATGACAATGCAGCCACTTCTGATGAGAACTGATAGTCTAAGATCAGAAAGGAGAGGAAGACCTCCCCTATCAGTGGACTTGGGGAGGGGCATGCTTGCAGAAAGGGGAGGAAGGGTGGGATCGGGAGGGGAGAAGGGAGGGGCTTATGGGGGGTACAAAATGAATAAAGTGTAAATAATAATAATAATAATAAAATATTAAAAAAAAGGAACTGGAAAAAAAAGAAGAAAACACATAATGTAACTATTAAAAAAGTGCATATCATATCCTGTCCTTCTCTCTGAAAACAGGGACACTTCTACCCAAAGAAAAACATTAAACCAACAGTCATGACATTTTCATTCAAAGGGCCCTATATTAAACTTCACTGGGTTGTAATTCTCTCAATTTGCAAAATGGAGATGACAATGTATCTCTTGCCAAGTCATCTGTGATAATGAACATGTAAGAACTCAGGAAAGGGGATGGTGGTATATTGTATGATTGGGATAGAACTGATATGCCAGAGAACAGATATAGCCATACCTGGTGCCTCTACCCAGTATGTATTAAGAAACTGAGTCTAGAAGAAAGCACTAGTTTTTAAAATAGTTATTAACTTGTTCAGTCCTTCACTATAAAAGTCTAAAACAAAACAAATATGTACGACATGGTTACATTTTCTCAGTGTCATACTTGATAAGTAAATAGCCAAGTGCATTTCTACTTCACAGCAAGATACAATCGAATGTGTTAAAATGTTTTACAACAAGAAAAGTTATGCCAAAATATACATTTTCCGTCTGAAATGTCATATTCAGGAAAGTATACACATATTCCAATTATTTTAATGTTTCAAACTATATTCTAGTTCTTTTGTTAGATTTCAAAAATGTAAGAAAATCTTACTATTTCTATTAAACATTCTTCCATTTACAGGCATTTTATACATTTTCATACATTTCAGTATAAAAAGTTTTAAAACAATACAGGTTTATAATCCATGACTTAGAGATTTTAAAAATCATTTACAAAGTATATTATATTTCATGAAGGTAAGTGGGGTGGGAAGCAGTGGCATATTGTAATAAGATAACCAATACCACATTCTGGCTCTATGTATACATAGTTATCTCTGAGAAAGTTTTTAACCTTTTCTTCCTCTGCAAATGGCAATGGCACCCCTCTTTAATTACCATGCAGTAATATTTGGGAACTGAACATTATCTATACAAATAATTCCATACAAATCATACACACAAATAAAGAGATTCATTAATTATGACCTCCATGATATTTCCATTTTTAAGATTACATTACTTTATATTTTCTTAAGAGTTTTTTTTTTCAAACTCCCCTTTCTCCTCTAGCTTTATTGCAATAGTTTAAAATTACATTTCTATTTTCTAGGACTTCAGTTGCTTTATCCATTTGTCTTTTAAAAACTGATTACAGCAAATGAAACACAGTTGTCTAAGTGATATAGTATACAAAAATAACATCTTGATTTCTGTGAAAATGCATTTCTCTGCAATTCCTGAATAGCTCCAAATTGTGCTAACTCTGAGTATCGATGTTTACTCTGTGTAGATTTAGTCTTTGAAAAAAAATGTGTCCTACACCTTTGCCTTCACAATCTATATGTCCAGCATCAACACTGGGATGAAGCTCCTCCATTGTTAGGCTTTTATCACAATTTCCCTGGCATAGCCATTAACATGTTTGTCTTTTCAGTTTACTCCCGCTCAACTGTATATTCTATGAGGGCCCGATGCAGATGTTAATCAATGTTATTTTAATAGCTTCTGAGGTCAGACAATCCAAGGCCGTCATTATGCTAAAAATTAAAGTTATTTATGGAAGTTCAGACACTTCCAGAATTGGTTTTACCTCATACATGGGAATGCACTCAAACCCAGAATGGTTTACTGGTCTGACTGAACTCTTCCCATTCATTAATCCCTATTCATCAGTGGCACGGAAAGGGGGTTCTTTAACAAAGCATTATACATAACACTTCTACCAAACTAAACATAAACCTTTTTTGTAGTTAAATGCAGAAATTCAGGTGTTTTGTTTTTTTTTTTTTTTCACCCCTTTCCTCCATTTACACTGCAAGTAAAGCTCATTGGCCTGGGAACAGCCTCTATCTGCCGACCTTTGACCAGTGAAGAGGATTCAGAGAAAATAATACAACCATCAAAGGAGGGGTGACAAAGAAAAATAATTAGGCTGTAGCCTCAATTGTGCAATCATGTGCAAGATGCCCTTACTCACCACAGCGGTAACACTTGACTTCACTTGTCTTACCGCAACTGATGGCTACATGGCCAGTTTCACTACAACTATAGCATTTCACCTTGGTGCAGTGTTTTTTAATATGTCCAAATTCACCACAAGAGTAGCACTTCTGCTCATCTGCGTGGTCACAGTCATGAGCCAGATGGCCTGGCCTGCCACAGTTGTAGCAGCATTGGTCTCACTCTCTCTTAGGCTTCTTACAGTTCTTGGCAATGTGGCCACCTCTACCAAAGTTATATCAGGCATTCTCCTGAAGATCACAATCCTTGGCAAGATGACCAGACTCACCATAGTGGTAACAGATGTCAGGAATAAACAAGGAAACAAACTGGAACCTTCTGCTGTGACTTCTCATTCCATGACCCCAACCTCCACCAGTAGGGCATTCCCTGGCCCAGTGGCCAGATCATCCACACTTGAAGCACTCATTGCTGCTCAGAGCTGCAATTAGAGCTTGACGTCTGAGCTGCCAACAGTGGTGGAGACTCAGACACAGGTCCAGGAAGGCGATTCACAAAGCAGTAAGTATTCATTTTCAGGGTCCTTGCTTGTGCCACATGTGGGTCTGCCACATTTTCTTAATAGTTTATGGTGTAAACTGCTACAAAAATATAAGCTATATTCATCAAAACTTACAGAAAAAGAGAAGGATTCTGCACCTTTAATATTCTTCCTTCTAGCCTCCAGCTGGAATACATAGCTGAGAGGAATGGCAGACTCTAATGAGATGTACAGGCTCTGAAAGAGGCTAAGGAATCAGCAGCAGAGAGCCCTGAGGCAAGGATATGGAAGAACTAAGTCTGAACAGAAAGAAGGAACCCACAGCTAAGGCATGCCTTATATAGAGAGGCCAGCATTGGCTGGGCTTCATGAAATGTTGGATCTTACTTGCAAAAGTGTGGGAACTGTTTCCATGTAACAAAAGTCAAAGAACAAAGGGCAGTTATTTCAGAAGAAAATTATAAGGTATAAAGAATAAAAGTTTTTTTTTTAATCATGGGAAGGGCTGGACAGATGGCTCAGCAGTTAAGAACAAGTACTGCCTAATACAGAGACCAACAACTGGACAATGTGCAGAAGAGAGAGACCTCAAAATGAGATGCTTAATGTGCTAAATGGGATATGTCTATCAAACTTT